TTGGGGTGTTAAAGAGTTAAATTATAATATGAAAAGTTTTGCTAAAAAATGATTTTTACGGTTAAATGAACTTGAGAAAATTAGAGAATAAACTTATGAAAATACTGGAATTTATAAGAAAAATATGAACAAAATGACGGATTTAGAAGTTGTTTTTGAGCTCATTTTCTCCAAATCTCTCCCATAAAACTCCTTGCTAAGCAACTTAGGGCTTCTTAAATTTAAGAACTTCTTTTGAGTTTGGTGATTTAAGGTTGGATATAGCTACTCCAAGGTAAGCATTGCTTCCTTTTATGATTTCCTTCTTGTTTTATGGTGGATTTAGAAGTTCTTAGCTTGGGATTTAGGATTGGTTTTTACTTTCTCTCTTGAATAGTTTACCTTCATATTGACTTCAGTTTTCTTGGATTTGCATTATCTTTCCTTTAATTTCATTATCGTTTTTATGACACTCAAAACCAAGTGTTAAAAATCTAAAACTTCCTTTGATAGTAAGAAATTTGTCCATGTAAATGCTAAAGATAGATACAATGAATTCTTAGTAATTCTAGAGAGGCGACTTTCGTCTCCGAGAGGTGCTATAGAAGCCATGATTGATAAGAGGGATTGGGAGGATTTTAGTTATCAAAATGGCATTGCAGTGATTCCCATCGTATAAAAATTTTATGCTAATCTGCCAGAATCATCCTCTGATTTGGTTTATGTCAAGGGTATGCAAGTTACTTTCTCATATAATCAAATTAATAATAGTTATCATTTACTTGACACACCAAATAGTTTCTTTTATACCTTCACACCTATATATTCTAACCTAATCAAATCGTATTATTTTTTGCTGCTAGTAAGGGAGTTTGGAAGGTGAGACAAAATAAAAAGATTAATTTGACTTCCTCTACATTGAATGTTGAATTTAAAGCTTGACACTATTTCATATCCACCAAGCTTCTTACCTCTATAAATCTCAGTGAGGTCTCAGGGGAGAAAGCAACCCTTAACTGCTACATTCAAGCTCATAAGTCCATTGATGTGGGTTGTGTCATTAGTCATTCAATTAGAAATATGTTAAAGTTAGGATCTATAATTATTTGGGCCACCCCTCCATTGTTTTTGCTTTATGCCTGCGAGCGGAAGTTACTTATAAGAGTAGGGAGGAACAATCACAACCCTTAAAACCTTTTTCCAAAGGAAACAATGGGATCTATAATTGACATGATGTATTTGGAGTGTAGTGAGAGTACCTCCTGACATTCCTCCTCTCTGTTCTCGCCCCTTTGCTCCTATGCTTCGATTGTTGACTAACATGATATACTCAAGGATGATAATTCAATCATTCAGGCAAAGGTTTATGATTTGGCATATCAAGTTTCTTATATGGATTGACATAATAGAAATCAATTCAATCAGATTGTCAATTTTCAGGCCGCCTAGTTGGAGATGTACATGAGGAACCAGTGGTTAGGAGGAGAAGACCTGATTGTTTTTCCTACTTACTCTCCATATTTACCTTATGAGAATACCTGCTGACCAATAAAGGAAGGCCGAAAGGAGGAAGAAGAGGAAGAGGAAGAGGAAGAGAAAGAGAAAGAGGAAGAAGGAGATGAAGAAAAGGGGGGGGCAAGTGATCTGGCTGCTCCTTGGATATTTCTGTAATTTGCCCTTTTATTGACCTCATTTCTTGGTGAGGTCTGTCTCTCTCTCCAGAGCCTAGGATCTAGCCATAGGACTTCCTTACTAACTGTCCTAGAGGACTAGTATTGGAATCCACACAACTTAGAAATTTAAACTACTTCATGACTCCTTGTAGTCTCATGATTATGGTCTTGAATCCTCAACGCTTAGTTGAGTCGATTGAGACCAAGACATTGAAACTTTACCATTAAATCAAATTATCCACATTAAAACTTCACCAATAAGAATTTAAATTTTTTAAACACCACAATTCACATCACAACCACATCCACACTTACATACACTTCACCATTAAATTAAAATTAAAATTAATTTTCAAATGAATCAATCATAAATCAAAATTAAAAAAAAACAAATTTGATTCGTAATTAACGCCCCCCACATTAATTCACCACATACATGGGCCTAAATCAAATTATACATGAATTAAATTCAACCCTACAAAATGAATTTTAGAAGTCCGCCACCATGAATTCGGAAGGGCCCAAAATTTCCCAAATTCAATCCCAAGCCCATATACCAAAACCAAAGTCAAATTAAAATAAAGTAAAAGCCGTTCATGACATAAATTAAGCCCTCATCACATTAAAAATTAATCAAACCTAAGATATAAAGCTTCATGATTTGATTGTCCAAATTTGAGCTCATGACATAATGAGGAGAAAATCCAATTTCATGCAAGCCATACACAAGCTAGCAAGCAACATGCAAGCCACCAAGCCATGTCAAAGCTTCATGAAAGCCACCAAACCACTTTTAGCCTAATCTACCCACCTTTTTGGATTTTCCAAAAAGTGGTTAACCATTCCCAATGACACACACAAACATTAGCTAAACCTAAATCCCCATGATTAAAACTTGTCCACCCAAAACCCCATGCCAAACACAAAACCCAAGTCTACCATATCTTCATGACAAGCAAAGATAAATATTCTCATGCAAAGACAAAAAAAAGTATCCAAAAGTAATCCAAATTCATTCTCCCCAAACAAAATCAAATCATTCATGACATAAAACAACATAGTTTTTGACTCACAATTTTATTTCCTTCTTCCCTCTCAAGCCGTAAGAAACACCCCACTCAAAAGCACTCCTCCCTTAACCGAGCCACCCCTTTACACGGCTGCCACCCCAACACAGCAGCCACCACTCTTCCCCTCACATTCCAACCAAGCAGCAAAGAACTAAGCTCTCCTCTCCTCCAGTCCAATCTAGTTTACATATGTAAATACATATGTAAACGGCACAAATTTTATGTATTTACGTACATACCACTTTAGTTTACATGTCTACCACTCAAATCATGAATATTTACATGTTTACTACCCTAATCATGAATATTTACATACTCACCATTTAAACCTTATGTGTTTACATGTACACCACTAAGATCTTTTGTATTTACATGCAAACAACCCGAATCTTATGTGTCTGCATGCCACACCATTCTCATGTGCTTGCAAATCTTCCACTAAACTTTCATTTTGATATATTATTTGCACAACAATTAAATTTCACTTATTTACGTGCATGCCACCCAAACTATGATATTTATAAGTTTACAAACCTAAACTTAGGTCTTTACTCACATTATACGAACTTCTTACATATTTGCATACTTACAAACAAACTATTATATATATATATATATT